AGATCTGAAAATAATGAAGACTCTGATGAATCGGATTCAGGAGCTTCCAATTTCTATCGATTATCTACAATGACCACAGCAACTCAACACCTTCAAAAAGAACAATACAAAAATATCATAGAAAATTTGAATGCATTGGAAAAGGCGTTGGAAGATTGTATCTTTAAAATTTATAAAATGGAACAAGAAATTAGTTCGGTAAAGAATAATTCAGAAGAAGAAATAAAGTCATTGAAAAATCAGTTACAAGAAGTTACAAATGATTTACGCCAATCAAAAGAGGCGTTAGAAGCGGAAAAAATCAAAAATGACAAAAATGAAAACGAAATTAGTGAGTTGAAGGAGAAAGTTAAATTAGTCCAAGATTTAGAACAACAAATTAAAGATATGGAACAAAGGCAAGGTGAAAAAGGAATTGATGAAAAGAATTTTAATGTAAATTTAGAATTGAAGCTGAAACAAACGACGAGAAATTATGAAGAAATGATTGATCACTTGAAACAATTATTTAATATCTTGCCTGTTGTTGACTCGGAGAATGATCCTGAACAGGGTGGATATAATAATTTGAATGACAATAAGTTCGGGGTGAATGAATTTATTAATAGAGTACGTGCTGTCGGAGAAGAAAATCGAAGGTTGCATGATCAAGCATCATTGCTTCAATCTCGTTTGGAACGAATACATGGACAAATGATTGAATTGAGAGAACAAGAAAATATTAAACAAGAATTGGAAGATACACGACAAGAACTTGAGGAAACCAAGGAAAAATTATCATACCTTGAAGAAAAAGCGCAAACCGCCAAATCCCAAGTTCAATCAACTAATGAAAGAGAAAATGAAATGCGTAATGAACTGAAGACATTACGTGAACAATTAAAGACGAATCAAGAGAAAATACGTAAATTTGAAGCTATTATGAAAAGGCAATCCGTGTTACAGGTTGTTAATGATGGGACTACTATCAAAGAAGAATTTCAACAACAACTAGCCACTCAAGAACAAGAATACGAAGCTCAATTGAAAGAGAGAGATGTGGTCATTACAAAGCTTCGTAATGATTTAACGAATACTGTATCAGAGAAAGATATGATATCACAAACCGTTAGAGATTTGGAGGGAATGTTGAAATCTAAGTCCAGAACATTGGATCAAAGGGAAGTTAGTATAAATCGATTGGAGAGTGATATTGTGAAATATAAATCAGAACTTGCAGAATTGAAAGCTGTAACTGACGATGGAAGTTCAGGTGGAAATAATCCGAATAGTCTTAAAGCAGAACTTGAAGCAGCACATGAAGAATTAAAACATTTACGGAATGTCAAAGAAAAACTTGAGGCACAATTAAAACAGACAAAGAATACTTTAGAAAAAGCACAAATGGCATTTTCCGAAAGAGAAGAAGCTTTAGAAAAACGTTCAGAAATAATGCAAGCGGAATTGGATGGGATATTGAAAGAATTCGATCGATTGACGAGAAATTTCCTTGATTTTGATGGTGAAAGGCAAAAATTGGAGAATTCTCTTGATAAATTACAAAAGAAATGTGAGAATCTAGAGAATGAATTGGCAGATGAAAAAATCAAAAATTTGGGTATGGAAGCCGGTAATGAACCCACTACGACCGCTACATTAAGGAAAGAATTTAGAAAAATGATGGCTGAATCCAAAGATGAACAACAAAAAGCGTTACATCGCGAAATGGAAGAAAAGAAAAAATTGGAAAACGCTGTTAGAAATTTGAAAAGAGAAAGGGAAGCTGAAAAATGGGAAAAAACAAATAAGGGTACTCAAACTAGATTTGTTGTTAGCGTATAACATATACGTATTTTTTCTTTCTTTTTTTGCTAAGTAGGTTTAAGTTAATTAATAATTTATTTATTTATTTATGTACTTATACTAGTTTTATTATTATAAAAATCTGTAATTATAAAATTAAATCAATGCTTTGAAACGAATCGTAATACGTTTGATAAATTAAGATAACTCAAAATTTATTATATAAAATTTTGTATATTCCAAATTTGATTTCTAAATTAAGCTATTTCAGACATAAGTTCTTTTTATGTCCGTAATTATTATTGGGTCGCATGTATGTAAGCAAGCATATAAGGAAA